GGGATACACGATGGAACACATCGCGATCCATAGGCAACCGCTGTATAAATGGGGGGAAAATGCAAGTTCTAAAATGGGGATACAATTTTCTCAGTTGTCCGAAGGTCATGATGTATGGCTGTGTGCGCAGCATTTGAATGCACCGCGGTCCGGTTCCACAATTGGAGCAATCTCATTGGCTACTGGGAGTATCCAAACATCCAATAAGGTACGATATAGTTTATGCAACATGCACTACGTTGAAAGTTCCCCCTCCCTTCCGCCTCATCCGCGATATGACCCTTTCTCCAACTCGAGTGACCTTCGTTAAACTTATGAACCACCATTTATGCCCAAGTTAATTTAAAAATTCCTTCTAAATCCCTGAATCCTGAAATGGATTCTTCAGAAAAGACACAGAATAACTAGATAAATCGACAACACTAAGATACCCTTGCAGAAAATATTTCCAATCGTAGATGATCCCTCTGCAGAGCACTTGTCCGATGGTGTGACGTCAGTGTTTCGATGGCCAGCCTTCGCCTGTTCTAAGATGTTCGATGATCTAAATCTGAAAAATTTATTTGCACTTCTTTTGTCGTGATTAGAAATATTGAAGTGTCAGCGCCCGTATTTTCTCTCGATTGTGCTACCAAAATGAAGTTAAAATGAGTGACCACGACTCCTCCAACACGTAATCCCTGGAATCATTAGTTAACATTGTTTCAACATTCGACAACCCTCATTCATTGGCTTCAATATCAGTGTCAGTCTTGAAATATATTACGATTTCCTTGAGAACTTGGAATCAGCAGTGAAATGACGTCCCGACACGAAGGTAAAATTCCAGGCTTAATTTTATCGCCACCACTAATCATTTATTGTCTGCAGTGATTCCACTTAATCTCCTGTGGGGGTGGAGGTCTTTTTCTCTCTTTGTTTGCTTTCTAGATTGTCCCTATAAAGACTTTCAATAAGGCCTCCCCCATGTTATTGATAATTTTTACCCTGCTAGTTCGATAATTGCCTTAGCTGAACTCCCTCAATCGCACTTTTACCTCGTTCACAAGTCTGAAATTTCCATACTGAACTAGGCATTAATCTGCAGATTCCAATGTTATGTGTGTCACAAGATTTGGTTAGGTTCTCCAATCTCCAACCGATATTTTCAGGCTATCATCCTCATACTTCATTCATTAGCCTTCCTGATAACTGCCCTGAATAAACGATGACACCTCTTTCTTCAAGTCTTGTTACTCTCCTGTAAATAAAGCCTTTTACATTTGTATCTCAAATGAATGGTGTGATTATGTAAAGAATACGATATCGGCTGTGTAGCAGGCTGTCAACCGTGCCCTTCGCAATAGGTTGCCTGTTTTCAATACCTTGAATGTAGAATTAACCCAGTCTTTTAGGGCAGGAATCTTTAATTATCCATGATGTGTGTATTTCTAATTGGCTCATGCTTTTTTTGCCCTGTGCATTCCTAGCTATTGAGGTATGTCACAGGTGGGAAAGATATGTCAGCAATGATCTGCTTATCACATGTAGATATATGTCTGTAGACAATAATAGTCAGAGTATGGATGGGTGATCATGATACATTCAATTTTGCAATATCGTTTCTCCGCTTTTCAGTATTTTATTTGGGGTTACCATTGAGGTCATGGATCGCAACATGTGGTCTTGTCCTCGAGAATGATCTTCTGACTTAGCAGATTTTTGCAATACCATTTTTTTCTCCCAACTCTAATAAGTGTCTTTTGGGCTCTCTCATATATTTTTTAGATATACCACTGAATCCCACTTCATAAGGATTAACTACAAATCAGAAAAATAGCATTTATTTGCCATTTATGATAGTCTATCCCATCATGAACTTCTCTTGTTTTGGTATAGACCCACTTTTTGTCACTCTTTTCTCAGATATTGATATTTTTGACTGGCTACTGAACTTATTAAAGTTAACTAACGAGTGAAACCGATGTTTTCTAGAATTTTCTCAGTATAAATGATCAGTGAAACATGGTCTGACATGTTGACACTTCTAATGTCTGGATGAAGTAAATAAGAATCAATCTGTAGTTTTAGAATATACGCCACTTGCTAAATTATGTGAAGGAATTGCTCTATTTGCATTTATTTCGCTTGCTTTAAGCATCAACAACATATGGACCCCTGTCAGTTTTTCAGAAACCCTTTTTGATTGTCCTACTTATCTCTGCCATTAAGAAAAAGCCAATCTCATATATTGATGGCTAATTAAAAACAATGCGTATTGCAATAGGAATGTTTAAAAATCTCTGGTCATGTTACCTCCATTTTTTTAAGAAAAATTATTTGTGTGATTTTTTAGGAATCAAAAACTTTCACAGAAAATTTCAGTTGGCTAGTTTTCCTTAAATAAAACATATGAGGGGAAACTTTTGACATCGCAATGTGAGACACCTATGCATTTTTTTTCTTTAGTCATCAATGTAAAGTATCCCTGAAACTAAATTACACTGAAATGCTCTAAGAACTTAACACCATCCTGTACCTAAGATCATTTGCAGACAATTTTGACGACATCAAGCAGAAAGAAACAATGTCACATCAGCCGAATTATGCAATGGCCTTACGGAAGTCCATTTACTTACAGACTCTACTGGAGAAACCACATCACACCTATAATCGTCCTGACCCATAGCTCTCTTTTCTTTTTTAACACAAAAAATATGCCTGGATTTGCCTTTTACCTCTGGTCTCTCATATTCATTTTGTGTTAAAATTGTTTTGACCCAGCAAATCATACAGTACCTTTTCTCATTGGATTGCTACTGCTCATTAACTTATTTCTATATCTACCTCTAATGAGATTGGGGGTACAGAATCTTCCAAGTTTCCTTATTTTCATGGGCATACCTACTGCCTGCCAGCGTTCCAAATTTTTCTCATCAGCCTTCCACAAAATTTTCCACCGACTTCAAAAGTGATGACCTTCTTCTTCCTTTTTCATTGACTTCAGATTTTCAATCCTTGACTCACTTCCTTCAAAGTTCAAGGGCATCTTTGTATTTTCACAGGCCTGTGTGGGCAATATGTGATCAGACATTTTTTGTACTCTTGAATGAGGTATCGGGTAGCAAAAACTTGCACCATCTCGAAAATGATACCCACTGCAAACTCTGAATGAAATTATATTTTTTCTAAAATATTCAGCAATCATGGATTTATGTATCAAGTTATTGATTTTTTTTGTATTCTAATGATTTCATGAGTATTAGTTGAATGAAGGTGTGCAAGGACATTCACCTTGCGTAGTGATCATTCTTAGAAGATGTTTGTTACTATCTGTATTTAATTGAACCAACAGAAATACGCATGAACACTTGTGCTTCTCAGTAAGTTTCCAGTATGTTTAAGACGTCTTGATTCCGGTCGATTGCAGGGTGTAAAAGGTGTCTAACCTTTAGGTTGTTGGAATGGACTCTACTTTCCCTAAGATGCTTTATGCACCTTGGTTATAAGCACATTTTATCCTCATAACAAGTTGTTTTAACATCGAACCCTTTTGTTTTACCGTAACCCACAGACTGATAGTAGACTGCACTTGCGTCTTTCCACTAATGAAGCCACATCCAGCAACTCAAGAGCTGCAAGTCAATTTTATTTTCTCCTCACCTCTAATATAACTTACGAATAATTTTTTACGTATGGGTAATCATTTTAAAGTAAAGAAAAGTCTGTTCTCTTGTTTTTTATTTATTTGAGAATTGTGTGTGAGAAGAAGTTTTCTTAATATTTTGGAGGGGAAAAAAACAAAAATCCAAATCAAATAAACAGCTGTTTAGCAAAGCTAACTAGGGCCTTAAAATGAAGGTTATGAACAAATAATTTATCTCGCCCGTCAAAATTACCTAAATAACTTAAATAGCAAAATTTCAGTTCATGTCAATGTAGTATTATTATCTTATTATTATTTTTTTCTTTTTTGCTAACAAGGTCAATCTGTGTTGTGTTTCAGGTGTCAGTTGCGACTCATGTCTGAAAGGAAATTTCCGTGGTCGCCGCTTCAAGTGTCTGATTTGTTTTGACTACGACCTTTGTGCCAACTGCTATGAAGGGGGCGCCACCTCCACGCGCCACACCACAGAACACCCTGTTCAATGCATCCTCACCCGTGCTGATTTTGGTAAGACTGGCATCTTTTCTAATTTAAAATTGCAAACTCGGGGTTTTTTTTTTGTCAAATGAAATATTTTTAGCATACTGTGCATTTTGAAAGTACACACTTTCTACTTGCCAAAAAAAAGTATTAGTCAATTTATTAAATGTCTGATTGGATTTGCAGCACAAATTCTAAAAACCAAATCATGTAACTGTATCTATGAGGTATAAGCTGCAGATATGTTGAAAGTTTTCAAAATGAACTATAAAATGTGTTAAATTATTACTTCAAGTTTATATTAGAATTAGTGCCTAAAGTCAATCTTCTCATGTTCAAAGTAAACAAAACAATGTAGGCCAAATGAACAAATGAACACAAAATTGTGAAAGTAAAGGATGCACCATCCAACAAGTAAGAGGACTTCACAATTTTTCCACAAAGATTTCTTTTCTTCTTTAACACTTGGTTATTCTCAAGTTATCAATAATAATTCAGGATGCTAAGAAATCTCATCATTTAGCCTGATGAAATCATTTGAGTGTCAATTTTGATCTGAGTAAACTTCCGTTTATAGCAAGCAGAAATTTCGAACTTATAAAACAATGATTCATCTCTTGTAAGTTGAACTTGGAAATTTTTAAAAGTTTTTTTTATTCTATATATAATCCTGATAAGGAAACATGCATTGCGGTGCTGAATCTCTCACTCTGTCGAATCGTCTGTTTCAAAATTTACTATTGGTTTTTCAGAATTGTACTATGGAGGTGAGTCCTTAGCTTTGGACCAGCCGCAGGTGTTCACATGCCCGTTCTGTGGGAGTATGGGCCACACTGACTCAGGTCTTCAGGAACATGTGGCTGCCGAACACTCAGATTTATCTTATGAAGTGGTGAGTGATTGTACCTCCTTTATGCTCCATTACTTATTTTACTTCATAAAAGTAGGCACAACTCTTGATGTATAACTGATAAACTAACCAAGCCTCAGAGTGGCACTCATCAAGTCCAACTCTTTAGTTGATGTCGACAGACAAACTGCAAAGTAATCCTGCTTGTGACGGGGTATGTAAAAGAAAGAATAGGGGGCTGTTGTATGTATGAATATTTTGAAGTACTGTCTATAGAGGAACCTTGCTATCAAGTTAAACAATTCTAAAACCCTGTCTCCATGTAAAAAGAAGTGTTTTATTTTTCATACTAGTAAGTACTGATACTATTTTACACTGGTGTGAATTTACAAACTAATGAATCAAAACTAGTGGAAGTTTAGGTAGCTTTTTCTGAAAAGAATAATTAGCAAAGATCCAACAGTTATATTCCGTGTACAAAGGACAAATCCTAGAAATTTGTCCTCATAACTTCACCAGTTTTCATTTTCTTTCTTGGTCTAAAGAAAAAAAAAGATTAATGAACATGTATTTCAGAAAAAAGAGAAAATAGGAAGTCTTGGAAGCTTGAATAAGCAGGAAAGTACTGCAGTGATTTTCTTGATTCAAGCAGTTGAATCGTAGCATGGTTGAGCATATTTGCTTCGCTAAATTACATAATCCTAAGTACTAGTGATCTGAAAATGGAATTATTTTGATTGATAGATGGTATTAATTGATGCTTTTATGTTAAAGATTTGTCCCATTTGTGCTTCGTTGCCTGGAGGGGAAGCTAACCTGACAACAGATGACTTTGCTGGCCATTTAACATTAGAACACAGAAGCGGTCCCCGCGACCTCATCTCTTTCCTCGATGATCCCATGAACACGAGACATAGTTTACGTCGCATAACCCATTCTAATCGAGGCGTTGGACCTAGTAATCGGGCTAGACGAACAAACATGCACTTCAGGTAATTACTATGTATAGCTTCATTTCGTCTAACTTTTCTTTTTCTGCCACAGACTTGGTTTGCTTTTAAGCTTCACAAGTAAAATTTAAAAAAAGCTTTCTCATTATTATTATCATTATTAATAATTGTTTTTGAAAAGGCTCTGAATTTTAATTTAAGTAGGTACACAAAAAAAAAAAAAAAAAAAAAAAAAAAAAAAAAAAAAACTTGAACATTAAATTCGCCACATTGTAGTAAGGTGTTCAATATTTTGAATTAATGCCCACAGAAAAATGGTTTTGAAATTTCAAATTGTACTTTATCAAGCACAAGAAAAGCTTTCATGAACAAATACCCTTAAAGTTAGACAGCGCTAAGCAGAGATGAATCAATTTTCGATGTAAGATATATGCCCGTGTGGTCAGCAATTGACATAATGACCACTAAAAAAAGTATAAACTAGATAAAAACTTTGCACGTCTTCTCTTTATAAAACATAAAAAATGATTCTCAAAACTAGAAGTTAAGAAATCAACTTCTAAATGAGATGCTAACAAGAATGGGTCTGTTGCAAACTTTTGCTAGAGCAAAACTAAGAGTTGTTTCTTACAGATAATGCCCTAAAAATCACGATGAGCGCATCGGCAAAGTCTGAAATTCACTCATAACTTCACAATCTGCGTAAGAAATTTGCGGTTTTTTGAGCTTCCCGCTTCGAAAACGATACTACGGTACAGGTGAACATTTTGTTAGAGGAGTCGTTCCATTGGCGGCAATACTCATCATGGCCGACGCCAGTCCGCCAAAACACGTGTGATGGGACGAGATAACACCTGAACAGGATTAAACCACATAACAATCGGCGTGTTTACGTTCATATTTTCCTCGCCCGCCTTAATTGACCTTGAACTCTCCTCGAATTACGCGAGGAACTGCGCAAGCGTCGGCCATGATGAATATTGCCGACGATGGAGCGACTCCTCTAACAAAATGTTCACCTGTGCAGTGGTATCGTTTTTGAAGCGGGAAGCTCAAAATAACGCAATTTTCTTACGCAGATTGTGAATTTATGAGTGCATTTCAGACTTTGCCGATGCGCTCATCGTGATTTTTGAGGCATTATCTATAAGAAACAACTCTTCATTCTGCACTAGCAAAAGTTTGCAACAGGCCCATTTTTATCACTGATCAAGATAAAGTTGTAATATACAAATGACGTCATTTGAATTTTTCAACTTCGGTCAATTTTAATTGTAAGCAATTGACACTAACAAGAGTTGATTTCCAGTTTTCCCGTCGTTTAATTTGGTAACTTCTTGAAATTTTGAAAAAAAACATGCTTTCAAAGTGCTGCAATTCATACTTTGTTCAGAGGTGCATTATGCCCTGTTCCTTACAAAAAAAATTGTTTATTGCTTCTTGAAAAACATCCTCACTTTTTTTCCAAAATAAATTTTGCTCCCTTCTGCTAAACTTAATTTCACAACACGCAGCACAGGCTGTTCTGTCTCTAAATGATTCCAAGGCAGTGTGAAACACAACTCATTCTGCATAGCATATCCTCCAGATCAGTGGTTTGTAAAGGAAATTTTATCTTTGTATGTCATCACATTATCCAGGATCTTGATCAGCTAGCCAATGCAATGTAGTATCAACACGGAAGAAATGTAGGTAAAACAAAAAATCTTGTGATGGCAATTAGTTTTCCGATGAAACAAATGAAGAGTAGTGGGAAAGTTAGAATGTTGAAAATTGAGTCATGTATTCTCAGACATAGGTCGTCAACATGGTGTTCGCAATCGTTTTTCTGCCTCTTGCCTCAGCATGAATCATGGAAGGCATGATTAAAGTCTTTAAAGGTAAAAGCAATACATTTCAGAATTTCAGTTGAATTGAATTCTAATCAAATTCAAGAACGTACTCAGATGGCCATCCATACCTTAGATATTTTAGTTTCTTTTTTTTCATTAACTCTTCAGTTTTTAATTGGAGTTTCTCAGGAAATTTTCGTTGCTTATATCCTGTCATATTTTGTGCTAAAGAGATTAAGCTGCAGGGTTCTTAGTGGTCTAAGAAACCTAGAAAGTGAGGGAATTTACGGCAACCTGGAAGAGGCAGGAAATTTCTAGGAAAAGTAAGAGAATTTTGCAAGGAGCGCAATGGCTCAGCAACAGAAGCTGGTGCCATCCAAGAGATTGCCAACGTCCAAGTACCTTTCATTTTCAATTTAAATCTCTAAAAGTGGAAATTTTGTTCACAGCTAAGCAAAGTCAGCGTAATGAAGAAATATAAATATTCTGAGTTGAGGCTTTATCAAAGGTCAGGAAAAGTCAGGAAATTTAGAAATTTGGAAGTAAGCAAAATATTTCAAGGAAAGTCAGAGAATTGGAAAATGAAAGAATTATGGAAACCCAGAACAAGTAGAATATACGCTCTTATGTTTTTTTTCAGTGAAACCACTGAAGATACGGAAGAAAGCACTTAAATCAATTGTCCTTGCAAGAGGGATTTCCAAGATGAATAAATATTTTTGTAGCTTCTTATTGACATCTTCTCATTGTGTTTTAACTTACCGGACATAACAATTGATTATTTCACCCAAATTTTTAAAATACAAAGAACTGAGAGCCATACAATGATCTCATCAGACGTATAATTGAATACTCTTGAGAATTTTTAAATGTTCTATTTGTACGCCAATAATATTAGTCAGCGCAAGTTCAGTGAGATTGCTCTTACAAGAAGTGCGTTGCATTGGCCTGGCATGGTAACATTTCCTGTTGTTTGAAACTTGTGTAGTTCATCTGGAGTTGTTTCTCATTTGTCATCATCAAGTCGCGAGTCAGTGGACCCAATAGCAGAGCTCCTGTCGCAGCTTAGCGGGGTGAGGCGCAACGCGGGTAGCACCGGATCTAACTCTTCCCAGCTGCAGCAGCTGCAGATGCAACTTCAATTAGAACGGCAACAAGTCAGGGTAAGCTCATAATTCCATGCAATATTTTTGCAAGAGGTAAAGTGGAGGCAAGGCAAATGGAAAAAAAAAATAAATAATTAAGATCTATGAATTGCTAGGAACTTTGGACAGAGTAAAGTAGTAAAAAAAAGACTTATTTAGATGTAAGACATATTTATGTAGCAACTTTGGACAGAGAAGAACAGTCCAAAAAAATTGACTGAAATTAGACTTATTTAGTGGCTACTTCATTCAGTAATCACAATTAAACTGTGCTGTTCCCAAAAGCTGCAGCAAAACAATCATTATTCAAGCAGTCTATTTGTTCTGGGCAATACTAACTATTGAATATATGAAGTATTCATGACGTTCTTGCTAAATTCGTCTGTCCCTGCTTATTAGCTCAATTTTATTGAGCATAAAGTTACTAAAAAGTATATTCGCACTAATTTTCGATTCTATTGTGTCGGGGAAAATTATTTATCTTGCATTTAGAGTTATCAATTTTTTCTTCATAGCAGCATGAACTAATAAGCCTGGTTTTCCCTTTTTCATTGTGTACTTTGCGGTGGAAAGCTTCCATTGAGTACAATGTAAAAGTAAAAGAAAAGAATAAAATGGTACCTCTGTGTCATCATATCCTGGCAGAGCACTCAATTTAATTTTAAGTTAACTTTATAAAGCTTAGCAGGATTAAAATTTGTACAAAAATTCCCTTTTCTCTTTGTCTTACAATGTGAAAATTCTACTTAGATATTTTAAGATGTGTTGTGGAATTAACTTACGTCTTTGAAATGTAACCTGAATTCTCAATGAGGAAATTTTCCTATCTGTATCATGGGGTGACTCTCTATTTCATATAGCAGAAGTCAGCAAGATCCTAAAATTTTAACCTAACTGAAGACGTTCTCCAGATCAAGTTTAGTCAGCTCTCCAATGTTTAAAAGTTAGTAAACATAGCTGTTGGATTGTACAATGCATCTTGAAAATGTTGTACATACAAAGTAAAAACATCATAGTGTTATGTAAGAGCAGCATTGATCAACAAGTGTGAATTGACCGATGATTGACTTTACAGGCTGCCAGACAGCAATTAGAAAGACTGCCACGTCGGCAAAATCAGAATGCAATACCTAGTAATGGAACGAGCAACAATGGCCTATCTTCTGTCGGCAACGCTCAGCAATCAGACGTCTCGGCTCAAACGCAGCAATCGCAAAACCAGTCACAGTATTTACTAACCAGGTAACCTCATTTTATTCTTCAATAATAACCTTACATTAACGCATATGTTGTGAGTCCAAAGTTAAAGACTTAATTTTTGCAGTTATGTATCCTACAATAAAAACAAGAGTGCAGCAGGATAATTCAAAATAGCAGAAGGGCAGGTGAATGAACATTGATTAAACTTTTTTTTTTTGCAAAAAATCGACAACACCCCAGATTTTTAATTTATGTCAATACCACAAGACATGACATAGCCCCATCTTAACCATGGAGTGTATCACATTATGATGTCTTATCAAGCAGCTATAAACCTTTAACAATCAGACTGTTGATCAGATATAGCTCATCTTTGGTTATAACTGATTGGTAGTGTTTGAAACACATGCCGGCCAAACAGCAGTTTGCCGAGCCTCTGGTCGCTAAGAAAATCGTTGTTTAACTCCATTTTTGGGATTTTTCGGCGTATTCCTGACTCAAAGCATTTGGAAAGGGCAATTTTTCATTTTGGCCCCTAAGAAATCTGAGATGGCTGGTAGAAAAAAATGTTGCCGGCCAGATGGCTGCTAAGACTTCATGCCGAGTTTCAAACACTGCTGATCGGGCTAAAATTTCAGGAGTGGTTTGTCGAACGATTGTGTCTGTCTGAATTGAGCCTGAGTTGTCAGGCATCAACTCTGCCGTACCGGAACTGAAGATTCCAGAGGTTTTGTCTGCTGGGTATTGGCTATGAGAGATAAGAAGCTAAGCACAACCATGCCACTCAAGCATTTTGTTACTCTACCACTCCTCATAATTTTCAAAATTCTATCAAGATGCTACATAAATCTCCAGGAATCTTTTTATTTTATCCTCTAAGACCCCTGAATCGTCCTTGCTACTTAGATGATTCCTAGATGATTAATAAAGCGCATGCATACTAGGTATTTCTGTAAGCTCATGCTGCACACCTTTTTCGATTTAGCTTTTCAACTATAAACAGGGTGTCTACAAATCCGGAATTTCTGAAAAGTTTGGAAATAGTATTGAATTTTTAAGGGTGGTCCGTAAGTACTGAAAAAGTGCAGAAATTCAGCTAGAAAGTTCAGTACAGTTCTTCAAGTTCTGTACAGCAGCATATTGCATCGACGTCGTGATTTAAAATAATGCCTGTCACTTTAGATGGGACTTAAATTATTCAAGTATGCAGGTATTGCATTTTGCATGTTTTTTTCATCTAACGATAATAATGAATTTTTTTTTCTTTTGCAGGTGTTTAGATGAAGCTGAATCTGGTATTGATGTGAGTGAGCGAGCGGACCGTAGCCTATTCGTGCAAGAAATGCTACTAGTAGCTTTAGGCCTGGATAACCAATCAGGCGAGAAAGAGAAGCCAAGCAGCGTGGCAGCTGCGCTCTCGCAGCCTCTCACTTTCCCATCCAAACCGAGTGCGCCGGAGACCCAAACCGTACCCAAGCGGCAAACCCAGCGCAATGGCAGCAGTGGCAGCAGTGGTAGTACCAACGTTGTCGCGGTGTCCAGGCCACAACAGCTGCCTGTGACGACGGCTGCACCACAAGTGAATAGACTGCATCCTAGGTTTTTTAATAGAGAGGTTGGACTAGGCGCCATTCCTTCCAATACTGCACTGCGGAAACCCATGCGGTCTGGCCCGGTCGATAGCAGAAATCAGAACCAATCCTCCGAGCCACCGCCTTCCCATTAACGCTGCCCCAACTTCCTCTAGTCTTATCATCTAGCCTGGCGTCGTGCCTCGGTGGCCTGTCCCTCAAACGGCCCCCTCTTTATATATAAATATTATATATCTTGGTTATTTCCTTGTTATCTACCGTGTATAATTTTGCCACCCTCCCAGCCGCGGAGAGTTTTGTCCCTTCTATTGTCCCCCTCCTTTGCCCCATCTCTCACTCTTCACCATTCTGTGATGCTCCGCATAAGACACTCAAGTTCAGTTTTTTGATCCAATAAAATGAACCATTGTGTTTCGTAAGTCATCCAGCAAGATCTTCCCTCCTGACCTTACTGTTCCCGAAAGTTCAAAGAAAGGAATAAACTCTCAATTCAATCAAAACCTTCAGAAAGCATTATCAAATCAGACATTGGAGTTTTTATAAAATGTGTAATTTCTGCATGTTTGGAGAGTTAGAACTCAAAAGCCGTCTATGCTATCTCATTATTTCAGAAGTAGTTAATTTTAACTGCACTTTCTCTGTAGTATGTCTGTAAAGCACTTGACGAAGGCTCTCTAGTACTTAAAAACGCAAAACTGGTCTGCTTCTCAATACTGTAGAATGTTTTTAAAAAACCGAGTACATCCTTAACTCATTTGCCTATTTCTGGGTTTTAATTTTTTGATAAAATTTTGAAATTTTAAAATCCCTCATCTTTCCGCTAGAAAATGTTTGCCCTTTGTCGTTCTCACCAACTCCAGTGCAAAAATACAGAATTCAAAGAGGAATCAATAACGTACTTAAATTTAAGTGAAAATTAAATTAAGTTTTTGCCACTCAGTATGAGTAACTTTGAGCCGCAAAATCATCGCTTTATTGAACTTGACAATCAGTGAAAGTCACTTTTTCTATTTTTAGCACTGGAACAAGAGTGAGTTCGGCAAAAATCATCTTTTTCATCCCATGGTTTTCTTATAGCTGATAACATATCTTTCCTTGGTAGTTTCAGATAGCATCCTAAAACCTGTTTTGATCGTTTGAAGCCTGAAAACACTGATCTCAATTAGCATTGTTGTTAATTCCACATTATACCCAATTTGTTTTTGTGGAAAGCCTATCGCTTTCATTTCACAAAATTTAACCATACAATTTTCTTCTTTATTGAGGTTTTTTGTGTGAAAGGTTCCAGCATCATGATTGGCTTGTTCTCCATTAAATTTAGTAGCGGATATTGTGAAAAGCTGCGATTGAGATCTGTGTTCTCAGAGTCTAGCTTTGAGTTTCTGTGTCCTCGCTTCCTGCCCTAATTACGAATCTTCCTGTTAAATTTTACCTGTGTTGTCCAATCAGCTCCGCAGTTTGAAACCTTACCCCTCTTTAATATGCTGTAATTTTCGACTGATGCATTTTTATCAATTTTGGAATAGTGGTTTCTTTTTTTGAGGCAGTTCTGCTCCAAAAAATACAGTACTCTCTCTCCATTACGACACTCATTATAACGGAAATCTCAAAAACAAAAGTATCATCCAGTTCCTTGTACTTACAATGCTCCTTCAATACACCGCTTGTCATAAGGAAAATTTCTCCTCATTGAAAAACCGTTTGGTCCATCGCGGATTCATCGTATAGAGAGAGAACTGTATGAAAAACATAGCAATGGAAGTACTCGGATTTCTTGGATCTTTTTCTGCCTTGTGAATCGAGCAGACATGCCTGAACATGTTTTCTCCTTGCCTTCCCAGAGGGTGTCAATCATTGTACCCCCTAATTTGTTTAGTCGGCTTAAGATTCATTGAATGTCGTTACATTATCATTGATGAAATTGATGTTGCATTTATGTGTGAAACCAAAAACCAAAGAGAAGTGGTGATGATTTTTGATGTTGAGAGCCCCCTCGACCTTCCTGGATGAGTCTATTTTGGAAATGGAATCACGTAAACAAATTTATTAATCTGACATTGGTAGCTTTTAAACGTGTTTTGGGTCCCAAAATTCTGTGAATGGTCCTATGCAAGGAATCCTGCAACTCTGAACTCATCAATACACATTTTTACCCAGCTCTCACAATAATAATGTTTTTTTTTTCCTTTAAAAGAAATAAATAAAAACAATAGGTATGTCAGAGAAGGTAGAAAAAATGGGTGGTTCAGAGAAGTGAGGAGAGGGGCTGATAGAAATTATAGACATCTGTCAACACCAAAATGAGCTTTGTAGAGAACAGATTTTTAAAATATTCTTTGCGCTTTTCCATTTTTCTAAATTGGCTATTAAGCATTTTTCAAGAATTTCTTGTATTTTCGTATTGTCCCCTCTTCCAGTCCGTCTAGAAACCTCCGTGGAAAATGTTAATGGTGCAAAATCATTGAAATCCTCGATCTGCTTCTGCCAAATGATATCTTGTTGATATGGTGATTTTCAATTGCGTTGTAAATACTTGTACAGGAACCATTAAGCCAAATATATTGCAGGGGAGGGGGAGGGGAGGGATGGGTCTTTCATACCATCAACAGCTGCAAGTTGCATAGTCAAGTATGCGTCCTTACTTGAGCTGTTTCATCTAATCCTGTTTGAATGTACTAAATCCTGCTTTTTTTGTTTTAGATTTTTAACCTTTTTCTTTTTTCCTCGTAGCCATTATTATTTTAATCTTTTTTCTAATAGAGCAAATTTAACAGTCTAGTTTCCGTTTTTAAACGTTCAACCACAGTTTGCTGCGATTCTAATCAGCATCTCTTTCTGCACCTTATCAGTGAGTTAGCTTCACTCCGCTGGAGTCGGGTTTTCTTTTTTCTTTATTATTTGTTTATTTTGTTTTGTTTCAAAGGAGGAAGCTGTTTTGTCGGAAAAAACAGAAACTGTGAAGGAGCCTCCGGTTCTGCTTGTTTAAATAAATCAGGGTTGTGTTTATCAATTAAGCATCGTCAAACTTGAGTGTAATCAGTGTGACACTCCGTGCAATGTATAGAATTGAATCTTGTGTAATTTGATCCGACTGTTGTGTGTCATTTCCATAAGCGGTCACGCCCAAGCAGCGAGCACTTGCCCTGTTTCGTCTCTGCTCGGTTAAATTACTAATAGCTTTTACTATTTCCTCTCAACCTGTACATTTCTGTGATACAGTCTTATCTATTTGCTATTGTATCTATCAAAAAGAAAATTTGGAAAAAAGAAAAATATCTGTTTTAAATGAATGTAATTACATATTGTTCGCATAAAATTTTTCGAGATATTCTCTTGTTGCTTTTTTCAGAAGTCGTCCATTACCCCATTCGCTGGTTTAAAGAGAGGATTTTTTTAGCAAGTTAAGTGAAGTTGAAGTTATGCCATTTCAGTCTCAGCAGAAAGTTTTAAAGAAAATGCTGTTTTAATTCTCATCAGGAAACAACTTGGTCGTTGAAATGTTATGTTTGTCGATATGATGAAGGAGGAATGGAGTTATGTGATTGGTCAGCTTAGAAAGTCATCGTCTTTGTCGTGTGGAATCAACGAGAAAGTAAAGTGGCCTCTTGAATTGCTTATTCTTTCTCGTCAAATCCACCTGACATAGACACAACTATGAGGGCAACCGACAAAACCAACCAATCACATAACTTGATTCCTTCGTAGTCCTGTCCAGTCGACTAAAAATATTTCAATGATCAGGCTGTTGAAGTCCATGTATTTGCTCGATTTTTAGCACAATGCAATAAAAGTTTGTAAAGATATTCTTCAGAAAACTCGGAATCAGAGAATTTATTCTCTTTAAGGAGGCTCCCAAGAGCGTTAAAGTCTTCTTGCACCTGAACTCTACAGTTTATTTACTTATTTCATAATAATTAAGCAATAATTTTGAATGATATGGACAAAGTTAAACTAAGACACACCAACTCGCATTTGGGAAGAAATCATTTCTTCCACATCATGCTATCAGAAGTGGTCCAGAAAATCACGAGTCTTCAATTTTCCCCTGTCGAAAATTCAAAATTGAGACCAATTATTTCATGATTGAGATGGTTGTTAGACTTTGTCGTTAACATTGAGTCTAATGGCAGCGTGAAGTTTCAAAGCGCTCATTCTCAGTTTTAACTTGACGCAATTTGGTTTGTTCCTTTTAAACTTGGTCCAAGTAGCCTCTTCATTTAAACAGCTTTTCCAATTTTTCTTTTTCTTACATCTTGGTCAAAATTCAAAAGAAACCAGCAGATTTTGTTGGGCTGCAGGCTGATCATTTACTTTCCTCTCCAGTGTTGCAGCTGCAATTACCTTGCAATTTTGGACCAAATCAGGCAAAAGAGAACTAGTTTTTTGCTCACTTGTGAAACAAAGCAGGCCATTAAATTCTCTATCCTGAAATGTGATTTCATGAATGAGCCACAAATAATGGTTTCTCTCTGAAAAATGCAGTCCAACTTTTAAAACATTAACCATTAAAAAAATCAATTAAAAACTTGTAATTCTCCAAGAGAAAACTGTGGAAGTAAATAGTTAAAATATCCGAGTTAGGAGACCCTTTTTGTTCATTTTCATGTAAAATGACATCTTGTATTTTGACAAGTTTTTAATCGGTAAATTCTACAACAAGTTATCTTGTTTTATGTTACAAATTTTTTAGATTCTTTTACGTTCAGCATCAGCATGAGTAATTTACAGACTTAAATGACTTTTCGATGCCAATTTTGTCATAATTCTGTTTTAAATGTAAATCACATATATTTTACTTCGAAAAGGAAAAAAAGGGTTTCCCAACTCGTACATTTTAAGAACTTTTTTTTAACGTTATACATACTGGAGAGGAGGTCCGCATCTTGGTGCTAAAAGGTAACATTAAATCAGTGCGTTTTTATAAAAATCAATAATACACTTTATTCACAAAAGAAGAGACAGTTTTAAAAATTTTACACATGAGAATACAAATTGATAACTTGCAGAACTCATGCAGAGGAAGCAAGCGCAATAAAAATACAAGTTCTGAAATTAAAAGATCAAGGCTTGAATGCAAGTAGGAACATACAAATGTTTGATGACAAGCCTGCCGAAAGACTCTAATGTTAATCCCAGAGCTGATTGATACTTTAAAAAAATTGAAAATTAAAGTAACATATCTGACTACGCTCAACTCAGTAATGCAACAAACCTAGGGAAAATACCTTTGCAAATGAAAAAGACATTAATTTCTGAAAAGATCTGTGATAAAGAGGCTACAAGTCGATTATTGAATTGTTATGGAATGACCTTGATCAATAAATAGCATTGCTAAGATAAGGATTTATCGATCACGATCATTCGATAACGATTCAACAAACCTTTGAATTAATTACACTCTCAAGTTCGTCATTTTGAGTTTCCTTCCTGATTCAATATTATTTTCTTTTTTTACACCCAACACTAAAGGTAAAAGAAGTGATTTCTATTTTCTTTCACTGTAAGTATTGAATTTCTCTTGCAATATAAAGTCTGGCCCACACACTCAAGGCATTCAGCAAGAACTTTAAAAGTCAGTTATAATCGGCGAAAGCTTTTTTGGGCTTTATGCAAAATTCTAACTTTCAATTTATGGAATGAACCTACTCAACAGAAAAAATTAAATAAACGACTGCCTATATGTATATTTGAAGTTGCAGAATGGACCAGTAGATAAGGTACAGATTTACACATTCTGATGTATGGTTCTAAACCAAAATCCCGTAGAACACAATTTGCAAGACGAAAATGACTGAAATCAACTCTTAACTAAGATATTAACGTTTGTATTATACATAATTTGGTTACAGGAAATTTGAATTGCCAGCACACAAGAAAAACAATACTCTATGTAAGTCAAATAGCGCACAACGGTTTTGGCAGGCTTCTCAATCGAGCGTTGTTCCTTTCCCACCCTGTGTTGCTCAAAGATTCAACAACTTGCTATAGCTGAGCTAAAGGCTGTTACATTTTCAAATCGTAGAGACCATTATTGCGGGAATGCTCAGTGTGCGATTAACTCAAGAAGGTTACTTTGTTTCCATAAGTGGGCAGTTTGAATTCATGCATAAAAAAACGTTATTATCTTGCTAAAAATTTAATTCAGTTATTTTCGCTCTTTGTAAAATTATGTTTAGGAAACATGTATCAGCATACTTAAATTCTTACCTTGTCTACTGGTCCATTGATCTGATGAAACAGATCATGTAACCCGCCATAAAAATGAAAATTTTGGTGCAAAATTTACATCTGGTACCATGGTATCTCTTCTATATTTGGATAAAAGAATGGACTCTACAAAAATCTGTCGTTTGATAAAATGAAATCTATTTTGTACACCACATCTATCTCCGTTTGCAATTTTCAGGGGCTACGCTGAGAATCACTATACATAGTCTTGTCAAGCATTACAATCAATACTTTCATTAAGAAAATATTAGGACATTCTCTTGAATGGGTGTTTTTAATACACACGCTTTGTTTATGAAGTATCCTTGTTTTATTCCATTGACTATTCAATTTACTTGTTTCACATTTAACGACTCCAGCGGTCTTCAGTCTTTGAGATGACACTTCAACTGTACAAAGAATTGAATACAACATCCTAAGAAAGCAGCTAGAATCCATCTAGAGGCCATAAATTTTCAGCGTTCTGTCCATACTGGCTGAAACGATGAACTGTGCATGTTTACCGAAACGTACTCCAGTTGCTAGAGCAGTGTGATCATTGAAGGACTTAAGTTCTTGCCACTGTTTGCACAAGAAAATCCTGCAAAAAAAAACACCCCAGAATAAAGTAAGAATTCACATGAGAAAAGAAAAAGAAATATTTTTCACTGAAAAAAGCAAAAAAACGTAAAATAACAAAATATTCTCACCCGCATGATTTTTATTCATTAATATGAACAAGAAACTTTCATGAGAAAATCGAAGTTTCATGGGTTTTCAATAACTTAATAATGGGTACAAAGTTATGTCATAAGGTGGCTTTAATCACCATGTGATAAAACTTGGAAACGGAATGCCCAGGATTGCTTCAAAACTACATTTCTTGAACATAAGCGGATCATTAGAGTATGACAATGTTACTATCATGTACTTTCTTCTTATAAACCTTAGCATAATTTTTACAAAAATGTTCCACTACCTGGTTTAAAATGGTTTAACACGAAAATGTCTCTCACTGAACCTTTTGAATATAACAGGTATTATAGTCAAAACTTGGTACTTACTTAACATCTGCACTGGCAACTGCAAGGTAGGTACCGCTCTGATCAAAGCAGAGATCCTTGATTTCATAGCCTTCATCTAACTGTAGAGTTTTGAAATTTTTCAATTTCCTTAAATCCCATAATTTGACGCACGCATCATCAGCAGCTGTCGCTAAGTAGTAACCGTTTTCTGAGAAGGAAATGGCAGTGATGGGTCCAGAGTGTCCTGAAAAATTGTCAGAGATTAGGGCGGTGTCCATCAATCATGTCTTCGGATCCAATTTCAGTTCCTGTGTAACTAGAATCGCATAATGGCATTGTCCAGAAAGAGGGGACTTCAGTCAATAAGCAATTAAAATTAAATTACTAAATACAACCAATTTGTTTTATTTGTTTACCAATTTGTTTGTTGATTGTTTTACAAATATTTTGAAAAACAAATTTTAACCAAACGAAATTACGACAGTTTGAAATTTGCAAATTGAGAAATTTTGTTCGGAGTGAAAGCTATTAGAAATTTGAATTTGGTATGTTCACAGCTAGAAACTGCAAGCGTATAGTTTTTAAAACGTTGCAGTTGATATACATCATCAATAGCCATCGATATCATAATAGGTTTCACGGTTTCAGAGAAAAGTGTCCAAAAATTGACATCGAATTACTATTTTGGATTTTCCTTCATCCAAATAAAAGCCAGTCAAAAATAGAATTTTCTCAGAGCTATGATTTTGATGAAAATTTCAAATTGCTCAAGAAAACCATGACAGAAGACAAACCTTGGAAATTGGCAACGTTTGACTGTTCTTTCAAATCCCAAATCTTCACCAGTGAATCTGTCGTTCCAGTTCCAAAGATCAAACCATCAGGGTGAAATTGTGTTGTTGTTAAGGGTCCCGATGATTCATCAGCAACCTGAAACAATCAAGCACCCTTGATTGAACTTAAATGCCTTACTCTTCATTGTCAATCAAGAACTTACAAATATTAAAAATTTAAACTTTATCACCAATTATTATACTTATATTACTTCATTCACCAATTTGGTCTAGTGACCTGGTCAGGTGACCGGGTTCTTCAATAGGAGCACAGACAAACGCAGATACAAGGAGGAAAACAGATTCAAATTTGAATGACACGGCATACTACATATTTTTACATCACAAACAGAAGTCTCCGATGGTAGATTTCCTCATTGAAAATATCTCAAAATTTTCACTAAATATTTGTGTATTTTGCAATGTGCCATTGCCAAACTTTGAAAAATTCCTAGAGCGTCAATTTTGTAAAATTGTAAGAGTATTTTGTTGTCATGTACAAAAAAAAGTAAGTCAAAAGTTCCGTTTAAAATTTATCTACCTAGTCTTTTTTGCTGGCTTTGTAATTTGCCATTCCACTAGGAGAAAATAATTGCTCTTGCTCTGTTTTCTCCTAAAACCATTTAGATATAAATTGAAAAATCTGGAGGGCAGATTTGAAAATTAAATACTTACTTTAGTCAAGAGGCTACCAGTTCGGATATCAGAGAATGCCCAGTGTTGATCTGTCGATGTTGAGAGGACATAATCCCCGGTAGGATGGATTGAGAGACCAGTGATGGGCGTGTCGTGAGCTCGCAGGACTTGCATCAACTGAGAGTGGGGCACATCCCAAACTCGAATCGTACAATCTGGGGAGGCTGTGATTACAATATCCTAGAGAAAAGTAATAGTCGAAAAATGAGGATAGAGCAAAAGGAAGTAAACACTTTGAAATTCTTTAAAAAGAATAAAAAATGCTACAGCTTAGTTAGGAATGAAAAATTTCGAACTCTAATTTTAACACATTTTTTTTCATTTGCTCAAGTCTGGGGAGAGGGTTTAAGTCTGGCAATTTTGATATTTCGGCATGCCGCGCTTGGGCCATTTAAGGTACAGAATTGAAAACAGAGTGTTTATTTTGCCAATCAATGTTAAAATTCAGTGTAAAAGTGACAAAATTTACGCTCCACAAAAAATGGGTCCAATTGGACCCAGAACACAACTACAGTTGCCTTTCTGATTGGTCGTGAGTAATGTTGCACCAAACAGCATTCCTCTACAGGGGAATATTGTCCTTGAATGAGTTTCTATCTGTGATAAAAAATTCCAGTTATACTGCATTTTAAACCAGATCGACAAAATCACCAACACTCTGTCTGAACAACTCATGTATGGAATCGCAATCTGTTTGTAGTACCTACAGCACTTTAGGCATGCAAGTAAAATACACAAGTTAGCAACAACAGAGGATAGCAAAGCAATCAGACAAAAGAAATCAGATCCGAGTTCCTTTGATGGATCGTTGCACCTCCTTTGATTGCCAACTTACGCATCTTAAATGTCGTACCTTTAGCTTGATGCTTCCTTTCATATAATTTGATTCTGATGGTGTCCTCTATCTATACCAGTATTTAGTTAGTTTTGTTTCAAACAGGAAGTATGATAAGATAGACGCAAGATACTTTTCAAAAAATGTCAAGTGAAGAAAAAAAGGTGCAGTATATTTAGAAATATTTTCTCTCAAGTAAAGAATGGACACATTACCTCCTCTGGATGATAAATAACACGAGTGACTTTCTTCGTGTGACCTTTCAATATCGCTACAATTTGTTCGGTATCTTTGTTGAATACAGTTGCGTTGCGGTCATTTCCACCAGTGAGAATTTTACTTGTATCAGCAGCATGTACATCCAATGATAAGATCCCCGGAATACCAGCACTGTGCAGACCCTAAAATTAGACACAGACATGTTCATTGATACTCTACGGTAATAAAATAGACCGTTCCACAGCATTTGACACTCAATTTTACAAAAATTATGAAAGACTAAAACCTTTAGTAAATATTAAAAGAGTGTGGACTTACAAAGTCAAGAACAAAAAAAAGTAATAACTGTTATTACTTGCACACTCTGAAGGAAAAGTTAGCTCTTTTTGACTGCACAAAAGCGACTACTTACATAGTTCCTGGATAAAGCTACAGAAAAACTTTAGTTGAGGTGATTATTTGCACAAGGCTACAGTATTAAATAGAAGATCTTAGGCTGTCGAAACAGAATGAGTGCATAATACTTCCTTAGATATTGTTTAGCACAACCAACATTCACTTCTGGAACACTTTATTAGGGTCCAATGGGGGCAAAAATTTTCCTTGAAGAGCAATTCTTATTTTTTCTGCTTCTCTTGATTAAATACTTCTTCAATAATTTGCTCACTTAAAGAAAACAAAATTTTACCGGGTGAGAGGCAAGAGTCTTAAAGCTGCGTAGTGATTCCGAGGACACGAGTTCTTCTGGGACTGTGCGACCACGCTTCTTACGTTCTTGTGTTAAAATTGTAGCTTTGTCTTGCAGTTTTTGGATAATGTCAGCAGTCATGCCTGCCTGTTCTGTTGGTTGATCAGCCACACCACCTGCCTCCGCAGCAATAGCCTGCAAGAATGGTTGGAAACAGAAAATAAGAGAGTAAGTGATATTTTGGAATGCTAGACATTAACAAGTGCCCTGGATAATTACTTTAATCTTTTGTCTGAAGCTGCTAACACCAGTTTTTGTTACATACATTATTAGTGGAATTTGACCTCTATCGACTTCTTTTGAAACACCTAGTAAGTCTGGAAGGCTTTAGATATTCCTTCAGGAGTTTAGACTCCCCCCCCCCCCCTCTTTTTTTTTCTTAAAAAGAAAACTTATTTTCATTTGTAGATAGTTTTGAATTTTACTCAGGTTAATTCCAGAGCATAGGAGCTCAAAGATGTGCTGATCTTCCTAAGGTTAGACATAAAAATTTAGGTTCTTATATAAATTGGACACCAAGCTTTGATCTTCCTTATTTTTTTCTTTATTCCTTTGGGCACTTGGGACTTAAAATTTGAAAATATACTCTTAATAGAAAGCACTAATGACTCACAAGTATTTAAAAGAGTTTACTACTTGAAAATGTCTAAATATTATGGTAAAATTTGAAAGAATGTTGAAGGAATATTGAAATTTTCATTCTTTTCCTCCAAGCAATTCAACATTATGACGGTTTAAATATGATTAACTTACCGGTTGGGGTATTGTTGTTGGGTTGGGTGTCATGATACCAGCTTGTGGTTTTAATGTTGCTAAGGCCTCACGAGCAGCGGTAACTTCCTTGGTCAGCCTACTGATGACTCGACAAGCAGCATCGTGCTGGTAAAGAGCGTGGCTAAGCTCTTGCCGAGCTGTCTGTAGTTGCTGCCTCTGTGTGAAACTGTGCAGCATCACAGCATCCCATTCATCTTGAAGTGTTTTTAAAATTGCTGGAATACTTGTGGCAGAAGGTGGCTTCACAACCGCGTTTACTGAAAAAACAAACAATTGGTGAGTTTCCTCATACTAAAAAACACCTTTACAAGTTAAGGTTGATTTTGCGTTTCACATAGGCAAGTGTTGAAGCATTACAGTGTTTTCACCACACAAATTACTGAAATGTCCAAACTTGGTTTTAGTAATTGATAAGTAACTTCTGAAGAATTCAAATGGTTAGTTTTCTTAGTAACTAAACAAATATTCAGAACAATTATGTAATATAAGAAAGATGCTTTTAAAGACACACCATTTAAGAAAGTGACGTTGGTACTTGTTTCAGAAGATGATAAATAATGACGAAATAAAATTTTTGAGAATTTGCTTTGATGGAAGTTAAGTGAGAGGATTACTTTGTTACCTAAGAAAAAATATCATGTAGGTTTAATCCCTAGAAACCCTCGGGGGTCTGAGTAAATTGCTTCTATTCTGAACGTAAGGTGGCAGACAGTATGTCTGATGCTCATCATCGCAAGGCTAATTTGTCAAATCCTCTGTGTAGAAATACAGTATAGGTACATTCGTCTTTTTACACAATGTAAAGTTTGAGAACTTTAGAGGAAGTACATTGGAATTTTCAAACTATTTATCAAGTGAGCAACTCCTAAATTTTCCATGTTGGCGCAGTAAACCCACCCTTGAAGTTCACAATGGCAATTGGAGACTTTCCTCTGTTGCTACTTTCTATCATATCAGGGCAAGAAATTACTGACAGAACTTCTGTAACAAAATTTTTATTGGAGCAAGGCCAGCCTGTGACAGTTACAATGGTTGCTATGGCAACCTGTCGTAGATCAATTGTTTCCAAATAATTTGCTTACTATAGGCTCAAAAGCTTTCAGTAATAATACTCACCTTTGATTTCGATCAGCTGATCTACTGTGAGCTCTTTTCCATTAGTTGGATCGATTCCATTTTCATTGATGTACTTCTCGATTAGCCGTCTTTCAAAAACAGACCCTGACACAGGCGACACTACAGGCTGTTCAGGAACTTCGTTCGAGACTGTTTGTAAAACACAAATACATCAGAATATCAGTCAATGCTTATCAAATTAATAATGTAGAAAAAGTTGAGACATTCCATTGACAGGAAATGTTCCAAGATTTTGACTATTTTCCTTTCTTTGTTGACTCAAAGGAATCTCTCAACAAAGATTGGTGCTAAAGCAATATGCAATAATTTTCTACTTAAATCAATGAATTAATTGATGATGACCATGAACTTTTCAACCTACATTCTTGTACTTAAAAAAATTGGTTAACATACATACTTCATAACAAACAACCCAACTAGAAAACTCAGACTGCAAAAATTCTTACTAGATATTCGGGTAAAAGAGTGACAGGCACTACATAGCTCCAGCCAAAAAAAAGTATTTTTCCCTCATCTATTAATACAATAGATTTTAACAAAAAGAGCAAGAAACAATAACAGCTAGACTTGGGTGAAACATGACGACAAAAAAGATATAAATGGAAAAGATAATCAAGTCTTTCAGTGACTGACTGGGAGCAGTGCTTCTAAAATTTCACTAAAAATCGTAAGTCTTCTACAGAAAATTAGCTGAAAGAGGAGAAATTCTGCATCCTCGTTGAGATTCAATAAGGTTAAAAGAAATTCATATTATGAATCAAGAGTTGGTCCTCCCTAGCAATCAATATTGGAAAGTAATACTGGCATTGCACTTGATAATAATCTCAGAGGGTGGTCCAAGCATTCGTAGGGGACTATATTAACAAGCTAGTTGTTTGAGTTATTATACGATATCATTGCCTATAGAGCCAAATGAGAAAGCTCATTAGATTGAGGCAAGACTGCTCCACCTTGCCAGAAACCAGGTATGAGAGAATAAAAAAATGCCCTGTGCTCAGGAGCCTTCCTTGTTCAAACTGCAAACAAGTTCAGCTTTCCCGCTACCATCCACAATATCCTGATAGAGATAAGTACCTATACGGGTACCATGAGTTATTGGTGTATATGTTGGAGGCTCCATCGAAACCGTTGTTTCACGCACATCTAGAGGCTACTTATTCTGATCATTATCATAAGATAAATTACGGATGCTCTATGACCAGACGAAGATCCTAACCTCAAATTGCATTTGGTTACAGTGATTTAAAAGAGCAAAAAAGGAACGCTTCCCTGCAAAGACACTGACATATTTTCAGATCAGGCTGATCATAAGCTTGCAGCAGAGAAATCATACATCTTTTTTGAGAGGGATTCAGGAAAAACATTTCTGTAGGCACTGAACCGGCGTTGGCGTCCGGCACGGCTCCGGACCTCGAGGTCCTGCATTCTGTCCCTGCGATGAGGGCCCTTCAGTTGGAAAAATTGAGATGCGGACTTACTTGCACAACTTAACGCCATCCTAGCTCGATATCATTCGACGGATACAAACATAAACCAAAAAACTATCACTGAAAAATGAAAAGATCGAAGAAAACTGAGCAGCACTTCGGTAACTTTGTCAACTTTAACAGTACGGAGGGGGAGAGGGGGAAATGATAGCGTGAAAACTGATACTAGCGCACTCTACGTGCAATAATAATTACTATCGCCTAGGGTGTAGAACGCCTTCAATTTCATTTGTTTTTAAACGAGAATTACATTTCTGTAGCCAAAGTGGTGTGCGCGCAAATTGAAGGCGATTCATAATTGGATTCCTCTATCCTCATATCTGATCGTTTCAGGTTTCGGAGTTTCGGGGCTGATCTCTTGTTGTACTAAAAAAGAACACAGTGTGTCGAGGAAAAGTTTGTATTTACCCATTTACCGTAAGTCGTTTCAATTCGAAGTCCCAGTCTACCGTTTAAAAAGAATGGCTACAATTTAAATTTTAACGTATGAAAACGAGGATACCTAGTCATCAAGGAGCCGGTCCCAAAGAAGACGGCATGTAATCAAGCGAACGTTGCAGACCAACTACTCCAAAGGCCTACTCCTCATAGGAATAATTATTCTTTTCCTTATCGAGGATCGAGGAAGAATTGCTCTGCAGAAAAAATTTCGCTTCTGCTCTTCAGATAGGGTGTTAGTGCTCGGTGCTCAGTATCAGAGGATTGGAAATTCATGGTTCGTCGACTACTAATACGCATGTCGATGGCTAAAGTCGAAAAATGCGTAACGACGATCAATAAGACGTCGCAAATCCCCAGTTGTTGTGTTTCATTTTATTGAGAGAGAAAGTTGTCTATGAATTTTTTAGCGAATTTTCCTCACTCAGTCAAATATTTTCACGAAAAATTTCGAGGAGATATTATGCTTACCTTCCTCCAGGGACGAGCTCTATAGAGCTGGTCCCTGCTTCCTCTTAAAGAAAATGCGTGGTAGGTATGATCGGAGCTTTTGGAACGTTGCCATTTGGGGCTGCGCATTCTTTTACTGTGGCCATCGATATGATGGATCATGGGTGTTGCAAGTTTAAGAAACGGATCTTGTTAGGGTTGCATCGGAGGTTGAGCTCATCATAAAAAATGGTCGTGAAAAAAAAAATAATTTAAAAAAATTATTTAAAAAAAAATCGAGAAACAGCAAGGTCGGAGACATCAGCTCTAAAAATAAAAATTCGCAGTAATTTTGTGTTTAATTTGAGAGACGATACAGCATGGTGGCAGATTAAAAAATCGCTCGTGTTTTAATGCTAATCCACATCAGATGTG